AGTTTTGGAGATTGGCCTTGATGGAAGGTTTTAATGGGAAAATGTTTTAAAGTGTAAAACAACTGAAGCCCACTGACACTGACTCAGGTGGAGTTACATTCCTAAAACATGAACTAGATTGTTGCGTCTTTGAAACATGTAAACATTTATTCCAGAAAAAGGGGTTATCATTTTAAAATAATTCAATAAATATGTAAAATAAAGTTTTTCATCATTCTATTCCACCTTCTTAATCAAATATGAAATGGTTACTGTATAAGAGAGGTCCCAATAATGTGGGGCTGTTTGGGTGGTGTCAGCATCAACCCAAATGTGGAAAAAAGTTAATGATAAAACCTCAAAACTCCAAGTTGGTCTCTTATATATTCACAGTTGAAACTTTGACTTTTAAGGCGACAGAACCAAAAATGTGCGCCTTAGAGATGTTTGCCCTTTTATCCAAAAGATCCAGATGAAAGATGGTCAACTGGTTAGAAATATTCTAACCAAGTCTTGAATTAATGGATGATATCAGTTTTTTTTCTTACAGTGTTCGGCAATTAATACAAAACCAGTCAAGACACTCAAGTAACCAAATACAAGAGTCCTACCTGTAATTTCAGTTCAATCCAACATCCGCTTGCTGCTATGGGCCAGGCCAGATCCATCCATGCATCCATCCACCAGTCCCTCGCAAGGATTTCAGGTCAGCATCACACAACCGGAGTCCGCAGAGGTTCATGTCCAGAAATGTAAGAATAAGACCCTCAAAAAGCTTGTGCCAGTTGTTTTTAACATTGTGGATAATAAAATGTGTCACCTTAACATGAGTTTCACTTAATTTGCTCAAGATGTTTATTTTTTCCCCGTATTTTTTTCAATCAAGATAGATGTAAACGTGATATATATGGTTTCTTTGATTCTAGTAAGGATTGTAAGTATGACCTGAAGTGTATTTTTCCAATTATGAACTGTTCATCTATTATTTTTGTTTCATCCTGCTCTCAAAACCAGTATGCTTTTGGGCATTTAAACATGTCCTGGATGTGTCTGCACATCTGTTTTGTCATCTGAACGGATTCATCTCTTGTGACTAATGTCTAAAGTCTGCTCGACATGAATGCCTGGAAATTCCCTTTCCTGCACTGCGACTTGCAGCAACATGCAGGATTTCTTGACAAACCTATGGCAGTTTTTTCCTTTACTATTAATCTAACCAGGTGCCAGGGGGAAAAAAAAGTTTTCTCTGACAGAAATCCATGTGGAAACCAACCCCTGAATGGAAGGTCATTATGAAATGCTAATACATGAGAAGCTTGTCGTCAACGGTTTCCTGAGAACGGGATACCACTTGAGTGTAGCACACCTTGTCTTTGTCCATTGTGTTTGTGTGAATGAGGAAGCTGTGAAGAGATGTGAGAGCCAAGGAGAGGAATCCATCCCACTCCTTCCAACACTATCAGTTGCATTCCTCACCAATCCCGCCCTATCGGATGACCTTGTCTCCCATTCTGGCTCACTCTTTCCCACCAGTTCAGTGTAACATGCATCCTGTCATGTACGCGCCTGTTAACTTCCTGTCTCGAGATACACACACACTTATCAAAGAGCCATGTCATGTCTGAAACTAAAGACCCGAACAAAAGAAAGCGAGGTAGACAGAAAGCGAGACGGCGAGCTAGACAATGAGTCAAGCGTCGTACTGTATGGGCTGCAGGCTAAGGCCTACACACACCTCTCACAGCGTAATGAGGCATTTAAAACACAACCACTGAAAAAACTCCTCTAGTTAAAACCCTACAATAGGTGGACAGAAATCCAGCCGTGAAACAGAAATAGATTTCCCCGTTACCATCTTTTTTTTTTTTTTTTGTTTAGCAACAATCCAAAAACCCACAACTCTTCAGTTTAAAAAAGCTCTTTTGTGCTGTTGGTATACAGTCAAGTAACACTTCCCAGCTCTAGAAGAACATAAATAGCACATGACACATTTCACATGAGTGTTATTTATTTGAGCACTCAGTTAAATATACAAATGAAGCGCGTGGAAAAACTTAACACACCCTTACTGCTTTCACAGGAATTGAGAAAGGCGAGTAGTAGCCAGGTGCTGCTTCTGAAATGCACTTGAGTGCTTTGATCATCAACAAGTGAGAACACATCCATAAAAGCAGATGTTGTTGGCTGATGGCTAATCTAGATCATTAGTTTTATTAATCAATTAATTTGCTTCTGACCTTTTTAGAGGGAGAAACGTAAACTACAATCACTTTTACGTGGGAAAACGTAGATGGCATCATGAATTGCAGCACCCAAGAGAGGGCCAGTGAGACAATGCAGTTGTTCTATTCATTTTTGTTTCAACAGAAGTTAAACAACCAATTGTCTATCTATTTAAGGCACAGTAACACTAAGCAGAGAGGCTCCTGGAAACCATCACAAAGGGACACAGTTTGTGCTCACAGCCAGAGGTGAAAGTGACATTGTTCTGTTTAGCTGGATGTCTGGAAAAGCATCGCATTACATTAAACTTCTAGTTTATTTTACCGTTGGCAACTGTTTTAGTAAATGGTATACAGCAAAACTGTTCATTCTGTTTTACAATTTAAACTTTCTACCAGGGCAACTAAAAATGTAGTTAGTGATGAAAAAACAAACCTCCAGAAACAAATGTGTGCTCCTTTAAGATCGCCCCCCCCCCCACACGCATTTGTCTTTCTGCTGCTCTTGGCCAAGACATATTTCAACCAACTTTTTGAATCACCTCGGTTGAGTAAATTTAGAATCAGACTGTTTCCAGTTGTGCAACTGGTAGTTTGATTCCCCTCACTGTTTCCTCATTTGTTCTCGTGTTTCCACTAAAACCTCAAGAGAAATGTGGGCTTGCTGTTTATGGTAACAACATAAATGTATTCACTTTTGCAGCTCTTTTTTTCCAGATATTCTTCATTACCACTCTCCTTTTCATAAAGGCGGTAACTGAGGAAACCTGTTTATTTGTGTTTCAGTGTACACAGACAGAGAGGAATCTGGTGTTTAAAAAAAAAAGAGACATAGCATTTTAGATGTTGATCTCCCGTAATGACTTTTTGTCTTCACATTCCTTTGCAAGTTCACAGGAAGTGTTCTACAATGGAGGACAAAATGACCAGAGGCGTTGTCCACAAGCAGATACACACACACACACACTTGCCGACACAAACACACAGAGGGGGCAGAGGAAGTAGTGAGGTGGTGTTAAATGACATGAACAGGCTTTTGAAAAGGTGGGGACTACACTGCTTCACAGTGTGAGTCTGACGGGGAAATGGAAACACGTTCCAATTTGCAGAGCAGTGGCCTCCATGCAAATGCAGACCACTGAGGTTTTATGACATTGTTTTTTTTTTTTTTTTTTAAATACAGTGAAAGACCCAGACATATGATAGTAGAGCCCATCAGCAGTTCAATACCATCTCATCCGGCTTATAGATTTGTAGGTCTAATGAGATAATAAGCTTGAGGCCGTTGGCTCATACAGCGATCAATTTCTTTGGACCACTGTGCCTGGATTACAGCCATTTTTTTTAACAAGTCAGTTGTAGCTATCATTTGAGTCTTGGGTGGGAACTCCTGGGGGAAAATGTGTTTAAGCAGAAAAGTGCCTTTAACACTCCTCTTTCTCCACCTCAAATTGAAAATATGATTGGTGTGTGAAACCTCTGGCATTATAGGGGCCCACAAGGTTGGACTTGTGTTTGAAATGCCTCAAGAAGGAGTCTATAAGTCCCGGCAGATAACACATATCTCTGACCTTTCTTTGGGCCTCAGCAGATGAGAGGCTAAAGGTTTATTCACTTAATGGGACAAAAAGGGATGTTCCTCAAACACACATGAAACGCATTAGTTGTTTGGACTGTCCGGGCTGTGTCTGCAACTTCATTTGAGTGGTGAAACAACGTCAGACAGGTTTGAGATTTGGGCATGTAAATCAGTAAAAGAGGAGTCAGCGAAGTGTGGCATCCTTCAGGTCCTGCTCTGCACCATGTTGGGCACAAAGACCCTCTTTGTCTGTTGTAATGGGGTTGCAAAGGCCTCAGATTCCAGAGGACAGCTGCCACGTGTATACACACACATTTTAGGGACACAACAGTCTCAACACTCTTGTGCCAGCACAAGTTTTACCAAAGAGTGACCTGTGGTGGATGCAATAAAGCTGGATTTCTTCAGGTCAATGACAAGCAGACACACTATATTTCTTTTTTTCCTCTGCTGCATATCCAACGTCAGTAGCCACGTTTCCTATCATGATCTGACTTGTAAAACATGGATACAGTTAAATACAGTACATTCTCAGAGCTAGCCATATGGTTTAACTCTCATATGTTCTGTCTTTGCTCACTACAAGATAAGCTACAGGAGACACACAATGGTATATTTGTCTCTTGATTTCTAAGAAGATACATTTCCAGGAATGCTTCTGGAAAGAACTGTTCTTTCTCTGGGTGAAGACTTTATCTCAAATCAACTAGCAACCTTAAGACCCTTCAGGAAAGGTAGATATGTCATACATGCTTCAGGTCTGCAATCTATGGTATGGCTTTAGTTGTAGAATTTTCAGTTAAAATGAGTTAATTAATCTCTGTTTCTGAGAAAAACTAATTATAATCATTGGACAACTTCCACTATGAGGAAACACACTAATAATCATGATGACAAGTCTTTAACAAAAATGCTTTAAGCATTTGACGTACTAATTTGTTGTGCTTACAAAAAACATTAGAATTTCTTCCTCTAGTAAGATTTGGAACTTGTATGTTTAAAACGATGTTTAATTAAAATTACAATTGTGCCTGTGCTACAAAAGTAACACGCTTCTGAAGTCTCAGAGGAGAGGGACTGCGTCCCGCAAATAATCTCTCTCCATCTCTGTATCTGAACCGTTTTCCGTCGGTGCTTTGTAAAAACAAATTCCTCTTCCCCAGCTAATTTGGCCTAATAAAAACGCACAGCAGCTCGCCCGCCTCCTCCCCCCCTCCCGTGTGGCTTTAACGCTTTTGATCCCCGAGGGACCTCGCGTTTTACATTCCTGGCATTCCGACCTCAGTCCCTCCTCGGTTACTTATTATCGCCGCCTGCTCGCTGCACACGCATTTCACAGCGAAAGAGGAGCGCGGCAGCCCGTCAGTGTGTGTGAGGGGGAAATAAGCAACATGAGACCCGTTTGACTCGAAAAGAAACCACCGATGGAAACCCTGGAAATACCCAGAATTTTACTTCGACATTAAGGACTGCGTTTCGTTATGATGAGGACTTGAGACGGTAAGAGGAGTCCGTTTTTTTTCTTTTTCTGTCGCGACGGAGAAAAATAATAATACTACTGACAGAAACCGTGGACAAAGTAGCTGATTTGTGACTTTAGGTTAATGAATTTGAAAGGTGAATTGTGTTGCGTGGAGGGGTTGAAAGGTATTCAAGCAGCTTCAGCGTCCGGAGTAAAAGTTTGACAAAGCCTTTACGCGCTTTAGCTCCCCCGTCAGAGCGGAATTTTGGTGGCAGGCTCTTTCTTTTTTTTCTTCACTTTTGCCAGCCGTGGAAGACTCTATTTACTGTCGTTCTTGGTGAACACAACACTGTTTCCACATAAAACGTCTAAATGAGATGGGGTTTATGCCATGTTGGAGTTTTGAGCTGCGTGCGTATTGGCTGCGTCCCCCCCTTCAGGCTGCCAGTCTCAGGACGCATTTCTGACTGTTTTGTCTCTGTGTTCCAGGTTCACATCCGACTGAGTTCCATTGTTTTTACACTGACGACAAGCCGATCTACTGAGAGCCAGAGACAGAGCGAATTCACTGGTCCACGCAGCAGCAGCATGTCTTCCGCTGAAGAGCCGTCTGGTACGGTCCTCCACCGGCTCATCCAGGAGCAGCTCCGCTATGGGAACCCCACGGACACCCGGACCCTATTGGCCATCCAGCAGCAGGCCCTGCGTGGAGGCAGTGGAAGCAACAGTGGGCCGGGCAGTGGTGGTGACATGGGCAGGAGCCCGAGATCCTCTCTGGAGAGCCTTAACCAGGAGGACCCGCTGCTGCCCCAGCTCTCAGCCAGGCAGGAGCCTCAGGGCCAGGAGCACCAGGGGGACTTCCATCACTCTGAGAGCGGCTACCAGCTGCACGGGGAAAAGCTCCCCACCTACGAGCAAGCCAAGGCGCACTCTCAGTACCTGGCGTCTCACTGGGCCTCTATGGACCCCATCAGGCAGTTCCAGAATGGCCAAATCCTGCTGCACGAGGGGGCGTTCCACGAGGAGGCCGAGCTGCTGGAGCAGAAGTGCAGCCACGTGCGGTCCCTCAGCGAGCACCGCATGCAGATTTCTCTGGAGAGGAGGGATGCCAGGGCCGAGGCCATCAAGATCAGCTCTCACAGCTATCCCGAGCTTCCCTACTACGCCCCGCAGTGCGTCCAGAATCTAGGGCCCGGCATGGACAAACGCAGCCCGCCCCCAGAGTACACCGCCCCCATTCAGGGCCAGGGATTTATCCCCCACCAGATCCAAGAACCAGTTCTGACCCAGCATCACAGGTACCAAAAGAAATATGATTTCCATCGGCACATCCGTGATTGCGCTCGGAAGTTTCTCTGCTTGGTTCACATTACATCATATTCTGTGGTGTTGTTTCTTTTTTAGTCCGCCCCATTCTTGCCATTGTGTTTTACATGCGTAAACACATTCTTAAAGACATTAGTCACTCCGTCTCAAGTGTAGGGAATCAGATTTCGAAATACCTATAGGGAAGCAAGTTCAGCCCTGTAGATGTTTGTAATGTTTGGCATTCAGAAGTGGGATCGTCTGTGATGCTTTTGTTCCCTTTGATAGTTTTACAAAGCGACTTTCCACAAAAAGTCCTCTTAAGTTCTTCTCACCCACCGGTTCCAGCTTCTCTGCTTGCTATTACTCTGGTTGATGCCAATTTACTCCCACAATTATTGTGTAAATAGAGATATTTTAGATGGTGTACTCAATTCAAAGCCCTTCCTCAAATCTTTATTCGACACTTATACAGCATCAATGTCCTCTGATTTAAAAAAAAAATGTCTCACTTAGGTATGTCCAGTCTGGTCAGCCAGCTGAAGTCCCCTGCTTCAGCCCATATAACAGCCTGCCACCTGGTGGCCTGGAGGAACCCAACCAGGTGGAGCTGCTTCTGATGGAGAATGAGAGGCTCAGGCACGAGCTTGAAAGTCACAGGGAGAAGAGCGGCTGCATTCAGAAGGTAAGAGCAGCTCTGCTAACGGGCCGTCGACTCTCACAAGTCCTGTTCAATAAACGAGAAAAATTCAAACTTAAAATGAAGAGGGGTATTTTACATTCAACCAAACCCAGATTAACTTTTTATCCAAAAATATTAGTCAACTCTTAACAATGCCACCTGTCTCTAAACGATGTAAAGTATAGATTTAAAACTATTATATATAGGGAAACTGATGGCTATTGGAAACAAAAAAAACAAAAAAACAGCTAATGAATGCCCCAGTCAAATGAAGAAATGTCTAATTGAGCATAAACAAAAACTCTTGCTTTCAACCACCTGTCTACGAAACACAACCCCAGTCAACAGTTGCCTCACTGATACTGAACTCCAGGCACTCCCACCCCCCCATCTGGGGGGACAGATGAGCTCAGCAGCTGCTACCTTACAGAGGCACAAACAGAGGTCACAGCCTGCTACTGTGTTTACACACTCCTTTCATTGTGTAGCAGAAAACCGTGCAGGCTTCAGTTCCAGGGAAGCCACAGACTTTCAGAGTGATCTAGGCCTTGTTGCACAGCAGTTCAATAGTTTGTGGCCCTTCCCCCACATGTGTGGGTAGTAGAGAGAGGCGGGGGGGGCACACCAGGTGGTTGGCTATTTGGCAAAAAATAAAGAGAAGAGAGGGAAAGACCCTTTATTTTTTCAGCATCCAGCCCTTTTTCCATGCACTCACATTAAAGCGTGGTCCTTTTACTCACATGACCTCACCAAACAGGCCCTGAAGTACTTGTTCAGCATGTTGGAAACGGCCTCAGAGACACTTGACACCTAAGCCAGTCTTTATAAAATCAACTCCCCAGTTCTCTGCTGGAGTTGTGTCACATGGTCCTTGCGTTGTCTCAGTTTTAAAGAATGATAATTGCCGGGGTTGGAAAGTTTTCTCCGTCAGGCCGCAGCCCTGAGTAAACATGCCTGAGTGACTGCTGTAATGGTGGGTGTCTCTTTGCCGTTTCCACAGCCCAGGCTCAGGCATGCACACCTTCCCTCCGCTGGCAGCCTTCCCAAATCTGTGTGCATGTGGAAGAGAGTGCTTGTGTGCGCATATTAAATTGCAGTGTGTTGTGTGTGTGCAGGCTGTTGGGCGTGCGCGCTCGCACACACATATACACACACACCTGGAACTGGAGCTATCAGCCCTCAGGAATGTAGATATAAATCAGTCTCACAGGGAGTGGTACAGGCTTAAATTCCTTCTCGGCATTATACCACACATACACAATCATACTCACACAGAGCCTTCAGAGGACTACTCCGACTTACATTAATTTAAGGGGTCCATAATCTAGTTGTAATCTAAACTAGTGCTTGTCCCACCGTAAGATAAACCCAGCACTTTGCTTTACTAGAGTATTACCTGCCGCACATTGGGTGTACACAGCTATGTATGCACCGTAACAATGTGAATCAACATTCCAGCCCTTCCCTTGCATGTGAAGTGGGTTAACTGAAAAGTCCTCCTTTTATTTCCTGCTCTTCATTCTTATTTATTCAAACATTTCCTGATTCTTCTCCTCTTCTACCCCGTTTCCCTCCGTTTTCAGTTGGAGCAGGAGATCAAGCGCATTTCAGAGGCCTACGAGACGCTGATGGAGGGCAGTAGTAAGAGAGAAAACCTGGAGCAGACGATGAGGAGGAGACTGGTGGCCGAAATCAGGCGGTTGCAGGATTTCAACAGAGACCTTAGAGGTATAAAATGTTCCCAAGCCCCTCGGGCAGAGTGCTGCTACCAGCGGTGGGGAGGTTTACAGTTGAAACTAATTAAAACATGTTGCTTCCTTGCAGAAAACCTGGAAAATGCCAGAACACATGTTGCAAAAGAAGTTGAGGCAGCAGACCATAACCAGCACATCATGACAAAACTCCTTGAACAAAGTGAGTTTAACTTTTTGTTTTGTCGAGTTTCATCTCCTCTGCTCAGTGTAACATCCTCATTTGGAATCATCATGCGTGATTGGACAGAATTGCAGGAGAGCATGGGGCCCTTTTTGTAGCTAAGGGCACTTTTGCACACAGGAATTTCACTTGCATAACTCTGGCTTATTGGTAAGAAGGCTTAATAATGGGGAATTCAATCCACACACCTCTTTGCAAAAGGAAATGAACTGTCTTAACCACAGAGCAGCGGTGGAAGCATTCAGAACATGGTCCCCCCCCCCACCTGTTGTGTGTGTGATTTATAGTGTCTGTTTAAGGAACTGGTCTCATGCAGAGTGGTGGTGTTTGTATGGCCTTGATGAGGAATGTCCTGTGCTATGTGGGTCAAAGGGATGGGGCAGTTCCCCCCCTCTTCCTCCTCCTCCTTCCTCTCAGCATTCCAGGAGTGCTTCACTAAATGAAGAACACTGGCCATCATGTAGAAACTCTGGGTCTCATTACCCCAGGTTGGAGAAACAGTTTTAAACGGCGTCTTCTGCCAAGTGAAAACATCTCCGTCCTGTCCAACAGCGCGGTGTTAAAGTCCCTCCACCGCTGCCTCACATGTATCCGCCTGCTGCTAACGTGAGTGCCTCCCCTTCTTCTTTTGCTCCAGACGAGGAGCAGAACTTTGAGCGGGAGCGCGTGGAGAGGGAGGTGCAGCGTGTGCGAGCGACCATGGAGGAGCAGACCCTCCGGGCCAAGCGGCTGGAGGAGGCCCTGGATGCGGCCCGAGGACGCGGGCGCCAGCTGGAGGAGGAGCTGAGGAGGAAGAGGGCGTACGTGGAAAAGGTGGAGAGGCTCCAGAGCGCCCTGGCTCAGCTGCAGTCCACCTGCGAGAAGAGGGAGAGCCTCGAGATGAAGCTGAGGACGCGGCTGGAGCAGGAGCTGAGGAGCCTGAGGGCACAGCAGGTAAACCTCCTCTTCTTGGACAGTGGTGGACGAACCCGCTGCGTTAAAAATCAGGCGCCGTGGCTTCATTCGATGTTCTGTTTATCCGCTCCTCAGAGGCAGTCTCAGCCTCCAGGAGTGACCATGGGCTCGCTTCAAGAGCGCCTGCGTGAGCGCGAGGAGCGGATCTTGGCCCTTGAGGCTGACATGGTGCGCTGGGAGCAGAAGTACCTGGAGGAGAGCACCATGAGGCAGTTTGCAATGGAGGTGGCTGCCACTGCCGCCGCCCAAAGGTAAAGACAACAACGGCTGAGATTCCTTTGATACTGTCGGGGCGCGTACGGTCTAAAAAACAACTGCCATTGAATTTGAAATAAGGATAGGAATGTATTTATCTTTTTGCAGAGACACCACCATCATTAACCACTCACCCTGCCACTCCTCTAACAACAGTTTCAACGAGGACCTGCCTGTAGTCGACCACAGGAATCAGGAGATGGAAAACAGGTGCGTACATTTGGGGAGATTAAATTTGATTGTTTTTTTGCCTGTGTTTTTTGGGGGCGTGTTTTCTGACGTTTGGATGTACTCCTTCCCTACATCAGGATCCGCGCTCTTTATGCCCAGATCTTGGAAAAAGATGCTGTGATCAAAATCCTCAATCAGCGACTGCACCAAGATCAAGGTCAGAAGGAGGAGCAAAGTCCCCGAACAAATCTGCTCAATGAGACGGGGTCACCTCTCAGACCTGCCTCCTCAACTCCCTCCATCAGCTCCACGTGCACCAAGAACAGAGGCACGTAACACAAAGTCTCTCTTCTAACACTATCTATGTGTCAGTAAAACACAATCATCTTTGTGAATAAATGTTATAAAATGAAACTCAGATGAGTTTTAACGTGCTGCTGACAAAGTACTGACATTTGATATGATTCCGTCTTGTAGGGAAGAGTCTTTCAGATGATCAGACTTTGCCAAACCGTCAGTTCTCTGCACAGTCTGAGCCCCCAACGCTAGCCCGGCAGCTGGAGGCAGCAAAAGCCAAAGAGGCTGCCAGCACACCGAAGCTCAACAGTGGTAAGCGATCAATCGTAACATCAAGTTCTTGGTATGAAACCGGAATTACATGTTATGCTTACATGAAGAACAGAAAATTGATAAATGAGTCCGCACAAGCTCCGAATCCACAGCAGACACAAGCGTACAGCGTAATGGAGGCTCACATTGATTGACCATGCTTTGGATTAGGAGCCAGTCATGTAGCATCAGTCCAGGTCATGGTCCATAATGTGGACCGTGTGGAATGTGCACAGTTTGGAATGAATGTAGATCTGTTGACAGAGCAAAATGGTCTGCGCGAATCTGGAAAATGTCGGTTAAGCTTTAGTCATCGCTAACTGAACCCAGTGTAGGACATTGTTCCACTGTGTTTACATCGCATTACCATTTTTTCTTCTTCTCCACAGACAAAGCAGCACCTAAGAGTTTGCCGTTAAACCCCTTCAGAGGCCTGGACGAGCTGGAGGCGGAGGCAGTGGAAATCTTCATTTGAGGAACTGTGAGGTGGATTCTGAATGAGGGAAAACAAAACAATCCTCAGTACCTGTGAAGAGTGCACAAATCGAGAACAAAGTACTGGATCCAAGAAGAGATTTTTTTCAGGAAAGAGGCCATTGCATAAAAAAAGAGGACCTTTTCACAACCTTGACAGAGCTGTGCTCCGACCCTCTTCTCTCACTGAGCCGGACAGCTGCCGGCAGTCTGCCCGGCGGGGTGAGAGTGCGTGAATCTTCTTAGGTACTTGAACAGTATTGTGGATTGTAATAGGGTAACGTGTTCTCAGCGAGTGTTTGCCAAAATATTTATATACTTCTCCCTACAAATAATTGCTGCTCTCCCCGTTTATCGTCCCCCCCCCCTTTTTTTTTGAGTTACGAAGCCTAATATTTATCTAATCTGGTTTCCACATTCCCCAAATATTAACTTAAGCCTTGAGTTCTTCTAGGCAAATATTCAGTTACAGGTTATCAATGTGACCTGCATTCCTTCAGACAGAAAAAAAACGTTGTTTAAATCCTAAGCAATCTCACTCCCATCTGATAAATGATATCGGTTTGGAAGGACTCCCTTTTGATTAATTTAAGATGATGACAAAGGATTGAATGCTCTTGCTGCTCATATTTCCTCAGCCCCAGTAGCTGGTTCTTCAGGGGTTTTCAGGCATGTGAACAGTGACATACTAAGTAAATTTACACTCCAACACATATACACACAGGTTTGGAGCTTTGGGATGTTGTAGAATCATGGTGTTGAGTTAACTGTCTATTCCCCCACCCCCTCCTCTCAAAGTATGTTTGTATGTGTGATGGTAGTTGGCGAGCATGTGTCCTGACATGGTGATTCTGCTGGTTTGGTCATCAGTGAGGGGCAAAGTGTGTGTTTTTTTTTTCTTTTTTGTTTTACTGTGAGCTTTGAACTAACAAACTGTTTAATTAATATTATTATATATTTTATACAGATGTTTGTAAGGATATTTTAGATATTCTAGTGCTTTGAGCAGGATACCAAAGAGTTTGTGTATATTATTTGTAAGTTATATGGTGACAATCATGGTCTTGTCAAGCTGTACAAAACCAACCATGTGTTGACTTCAAACAGACATTTCTGTGGACTTTAAACAATTTGGAGGTTGTCCCAGTTGGATTCATGCAACATTTCATGAAGCAATAAAACGTTTGATATACAGTAACTGACTTGTGAATTGTTTTAATTGAATTATTTTTGTTCCATGCTGTAAATGTTTTGTACACCCCATGGACCTGTCATGAGATGTAGAAAACCAGTTTGCTATTGTAAATGTGAGTCTCCTGCACCTCATTGGCCCGTCTCCTCGTTTCTGCCCTCTTGTTCCGCCATAGAGAAGTACCCCACTTCATTAATGAATGCCAGAGCTGCATTCTTTCTGGTTCAACTTTCTCGGGTCGCCTGCTCTCTTGTTCCCTTGTTGTCATGAAGAACATACTTGGCATAGATTACATTCTCACAGGGGCATGTAACTTTATACCTGACAAAGACGGGTTTCTCCTAGATTAGTCACTAATGCCGTTTGAAATTCCTCTGCACCTTTACGGACTAGTGTGCGTTCCTAAATGCTTTTATTGCCTCCGATCCAACCCACACCCAGAGGTGTTTGTGAGCTATTATGGAGTGTGTCGCTGAGGACGATGACGAGAGTAAGGAGATCTCTGCTATCCTTATCTGTAATAGAGCTCTCAGAAACAAGAGAGCATCGTATATTGACTTGAACCAGTTTGAGGAGGCTCACGAGTGCTGATGATGAGGTCTCTAGTGGTGTGGTATGACTGAAAACGACAGCGGTGAAAAACTCATGGTGTGGTGTCATCAATGTCCATAACACACCTGTTCTTTGCCTCCACAAAAATGTTGGTGAAGGCCCCATACAAACCTGATCTCTGCAATATGGAGTCTGTCTGGAAATGGATGACTGTATAATACAATAAATCAGATTGGTGCTATTTAAGAGGGTAATAGATATTGTTTCACTAAAATGTCATTTTTAATGTACTTGTATGGTTACTGATCTCAAACCAGCAACAGTACCAAAGGAAATAAAGAGGGAGAGAGGTAAAGAGTGGTACAGGTAGCCTAAAATTGAAAATGCTGGTTTGGTATTGAAGGGTTACACTTTTCAAAAGACAGAACGAACTGTCATCTATGGTATTAACCCTCACAAAAATTGGAAAAACCTTGTTTGGAAAGTTTGACATGGCATCAATCAGTGGAGGGGACTGAGACTGTAAATCCGGGTTGATTAGTCTTAAATCTTCCTTATGTGTTTGTAGCAGGCAAAGCCTCTGTGGAAAGGTCCGCTCAAATCTCCTTTAACAGGAGGAACCTTAAGCCCCATGTGAAATGATTGACTTTTTTCTAGGCATGAAAACATTATAAAATGTTAGACATGATGAACCAATGCCCATTTTTTAAAACTGATCCACTAACTCCTGTCTTAATCAAACACCAAATCCATAATTTAGACATAATTAAAGCAAGCAAAGTCATAACTTTAATGGGGGATATGATAAAAAGACATCAAGCAAGTCTGGACCTGGACAGAGAGGATATGAACTGATGAGATAGCGCAGTTGCCTTTGACAGTGAAGCTTGTATGGGAAAAGCGCAGGAACTGTTGGTATGCGATGCCATCAATCTCAGAGTGAGCTCTTATCTGGCTACTGACTGACAACATTGTGAAGACTCGCCAACATTCCTCTGTGAATGTGAAAGGCAGCTGACATGTTTCGACTGTGTCTCTGGCTGATTTTCCCAGAATTGGTATGATGGAAGAGGATGGAGTGCAAATGTGAGTCAGGGGTGAAATTCCTTTGTGCTACAACAACCAAGAAATATAATTTTTTACACTTTCTGTGCCAGTTTACCCTCCTCTCTCCAGCCCAGTCACATGGGAACATCATGTTGAATTGAAATTGCCATGAAAGGAATGAGTTTGTTGTTAAACTGTGAAATTATCCACTCACTGAATTTATTGTCCTGTGCTGATCTTTATGGTTTAACGGCAAATTCCTAATTAGCCTCTGAAGATTCAGCGCACGAAGCAAACATGCTGATGATAAATGACAAGAGCAAATGTAGATTTTAAAGAGGAGCTCTTTAAAAATATAGTTTCAATTAATCAAGCCTCATTATGTTCCTGCCCGAGGACCAAAATAAAGATATTAAAAAACAATGCACACACCTCAAACTCATGCACATTTTCAAACATACAAGAAATACACGTTGAGGTGGATGGATCGACTTAATTGCCTGGCCTCATCAGGTTGAAAACAATTGTGCCATGATGAATGGACAGACTCGTGATAGGTCTTTAACAGGCCCAGCAGGTTGGCAAATCCTTTAAACCCTATCTGCATTTCTCCTGTCATTGTAAAGCTAGCATGTGCTTGGATATTGGTAATGTGTGTCACACCCAGAATGACACAGAAGAGCAATTTGTCACCACTGGCCTCCCAAGGTTACTGCAAAGGCTGCGGTCACGTGTGTGGCTCCTGTTTGCCGAGGGCACATGTTTTTAAAACTGCAGACTTAACCCTGAGCCTCTGTTTCAGCCACACTTCCATGATGTAGATGTGTGCTGCTACTAATTTCTCTCAAGATCTTTGTACTTCACACACTAACTAAAAAGGAGCTAAGAGCATAAAATAGTCATTAAGATATTCAATGAGTTATGTTAGTTACATATTGTTCTTCATCTCCTAGAAAACATGTATCTTTTACTTGGGAAATTAGATTGGCTAACTGGTGAATACATTTTGTATCCTCACGCATATCAAGTCCCTAAATGTCATGGTCTCTAGAGAAGGGGGTATGCTCTTAATTTCTGACCAACCATTGGAAAAATCAAACAACAGTTTCCAAATTGTGAAATTCTTGGTTGTTTATATCAGAAAGCAATATCAGGTTTAAATTAAAACACTGACACTCGTCAGTTACCATAACCACCCCATAAGATTAAGATAACTTGGAGTAGTCAGTGAAAGGCAGAAGAAAGAATACAAAATGGAATAAAACTGACTCTAAATTTTCCATACATACAGAGATTAGGATTAGAGGTGGTATTAGAGGTTCTGATGATGGATACACAGAAGGTATGTTCTTTAAATCCCTGTATCACTATGGTGAGTGTATCAGTTTAACATTTTTCTACCACAGAGAGGACCTTTTTTTTAAAAAAAATAGAACTGCATTTTTTCAGTCCAGATCAGCTTTTAACTAAACAGCATCACCTTGTGGTAGCTTTATAAATGTTCTGAGGATTTTTATGTTCACTGATTGTATTAACATAAATTTCTGGTGAAATTGCTCCACATTGTGGATATGGTTATTTACAGATTGCTGAACCTCTGCCTATATTTTCCTTTTTAAAGACTATTTGGGTGCATATTTATTCCCAGCTTGTCCATAACTGCCTGTTGTCTCTTAGTGTAATTAGCTGCAGCCTCTTCCTCCAGCCCTTTCCTTTTTATTACCACTTAATTTTCCTACCATTCATTTATTATATCACAACTTTTGAAAAAGGAAAATGTCCCACTTTCACCATTTGTTGCTCTATTGGGAATATAGTATTTATTTATGAGATCTGCATTGTTTTGTTCTTTAAAACATCTCAGCTGTATTGTACTTTTTGTAACCTCCCTGTCCTTTCCTGTTTTACTTTATTTTGGAGCCCTTGGATGTTGCTCCTGAGTATGAGCTTAAAACATGTAACAGTCCAATATCTACCATAGAATAAATCTCCAGTTTGATGAGTGAGAAACCTGCCCTTTGTTGTTCATTAAGAACAGTTACTTGAGCATTTTGTAATGTTAGTAACAAACTGTCATTTACAGGTGTTCCTGCAAGCCCTGAGTCATGCCATGCTTCAGATTCTTCCATGTCTGACTACAGTCAGATGCTGCAAAAGATTGACAACCTTGATATTATTAGGGACAAGTGAGTTGAACTTTGGCAGTTTTCTGAGCAAACAAAGAACAGTAAACAAGAATTTTCTGTCTTTTTCAGAGTAACACTTCTTCAAGGGAGATGGAGCTGCGTTGTGAATGAAAAACGGCTCCTCCAGCTGTTCAGGAGCAGGTGCACTCTGTGCTATTCTAAAGTCAAAGCGGAGAAGGTTGTCCGAGGTGTGCTGTTTGCCCTGAACCACAATTGCCTGCAGTGTGACTACAGAAATCAGTGGAGAAACCTGGCCGATGTTAGAATCCCAGCAGCCGAATGCGCACATCTGACAGAGTGCACAGAGATCCCTTTAGAGGTGACTGCAAAGATTGTGATTTTTTCTGTTGGCTTCTTCTTTATTTGTAAAGGCCTCAAAGGAGCTATGTGTTTACTTCTCCCTCTTCCCTTTAATATTTTTGAGCATGAGTGAGTCCTTGTATATTATTGTCATATTGTGTCTCCACAGACTGTGTCGGTGAATGATGAGCAGAGCAGAATCCCCAGAGTCCCAGGGGTTGTTACAGTTATGGGCGAGGCGAGAGATGCTCTGCAGGGATCAGGTGGGTTCAGTGGTCCTGGTGACTGGGATTCAGGTGATGAGTGGCAGCCAGAGGAGGAGATTTTTACCATATAACCAGCCTGAGAAGGACTCGGAGGAAGAAAGCTCATATGATGACGAAGAAATCCTTTCAAAATACAGTCAGCTGTGGGAGATTTTTTGATAGAAGAAAGCCTCACGCGTGCGAACATGAAGTCAAGCCCTATTCTTGCAATATTTGTGGGAGGAGGTGCGTCTGTGAGACTTATCTAGGCTTTCAAAGAAGAGTTCATTATATTTAGATAAAGAAAATGTTTCTCTTTATGGAGGGTTTACTGATGGTGAGAAAAAATAGTCTGCTATTGTTAGGGGATCTGACACCTTTTGGAACTTTTTTAAAGTCCCTGTTTTATGTACGTTTTTCTTGCCCTTCTCTTCTTACCTTGGTATGGAATGATACCTTTAAAGTTAAATATACATGTATGTCATGTGATATATGATCTCATTTTGGTGATATTGGGAGAAAAGGGCCTCTTACTATGTTACAATGTAAAACAAAATGAAAAAAATATTTTTTTAGATGTTGCCAGTCTGAGGGACAAACAGCCAATGACCAATAGTGTCCAATAAGGGGCAGCATTTTTTCACAATGCCATTTGTTGTTGCTCAGATTGCACA